TTGTTGTGTTTAGCAATTTGTTGGTGTGATTTGCACTTCAGGGCCACCGTACTTTGGAGTCTTTTTCCTGTAAATCGTTGAAGCTTCACACAAACCAGTCTTCATTTAGTTTAAATTTACTGTCAGGGTTCATGTACGAAACAAACAACAGAGAAAAATACACGAGACCAGTTTCAGCTGCTAATTCCCTCCTGCAGAGCTTGGGCAGGTCAATAACAAGCAGAAATACATCATCAATAAGCAATATTATACTAATACAAATACAGCCGCCCCAGCTAAAGCAGTTTCAGAACTCATATCCAAATCCCATCAGTCCACAGTACAAATGCTGACAGTCTCTCTCTCGTGGAGGTGTCGACTAGTTTTCAGATCCTCAGGAAGTTTCCGGTGGAGCTACGGTCCCTCTGCTGGTTGGCTCTCAGAGGCGGGGGTGCAACATGGTGAACAACTTTAAAATCAGCTGCAGATCAGAAATCAGGATTAAATCCTCAAAGCTTAAATTATTTCCTAATGATGTGGCAGTGACGCAAATATCCTGGTTTCCTGTCGTCCATAACTCGATTATGAAGAGATCGACTGGTTTGAAAGTCGCACGCCTCGCCTGTTTGTGGCAGTTATAGTCTGAACAGCTTACAGGAAGCCGTCTGTAGTCCGAGTTTTTGATCTTTGAAAGGCTGTGAGCAGAGTTCAGGTCTGATTGGAGGAAAAAGCATCGTGTTGTTGACCGGTTTGTGTTTTCGGGTGTGATGAGCAGCCAGTCACACGTTAGCCCTCGGTGTGCTGTGTTCTCAGGTGTTCATCAGCTGCTGCTGAAGCTTCACGGCTTACAGAGGAGGACCTGCACCACGAAGGCATCGACCCGCCCTCCACATCAGCCCACAGGGAGGCGCTACACTGAGACGGCGAGCGTAACTAGACTGAGCCTGACCTCAAACACACCACCTACAGTCAGATCAGGAAGACAACCCCATTTTAACTCCACCCTCACAACCCAGCCCACCTGCCTCAGCAGAGCCTGCCGTCACAGGGAGTGTGGGACACGCTGCTGCAGACGCGGCTCTGAAACAGCCGCTGCATTTAGCTGCTGAACCTGAGTCTGACTCCACTGTCATCCTCACGGCTCTACTTCCTGTTTGTCACGATTAAAAAAGAAACCTGAGCCATGATCCATCGCGTGTGTGTGTGTATGATACTTGTCTACTTGTCAGAACGTGACCCACACATTAATCTCTCACACATTAATG